ATTAGACAATTCCCTTTGGATTGGCATAAACAGAATAATCAAGTAAATGCGAGATATTGAAACAGGAAATTGTAAGACAAATGATATACAACAAATTAAATAAAAGACTGAGCGTGAACATGCATTTTATATGATCTTTGTTTAATACATGAAGAGAAAAATGTTTTAATTGGTTACGCATTTTAACATGGATAAAAAGTAACGAGAATTAATAGAAATGTTTTTTAAGGTTTTTATATATTTCTATTTTTTATGTCTTTTTTAATATGAATAAAAAGTATTACTTTTAAGAATTCTTTAAATTAAAATTAATGCTACTAACTTAAGTCTAATTAAAAAAATACTAAGATTATTAAATTAAATCCTAAGAGTTTAAATTAATAAAATTAGTCAAATATTAAAAAAAATGTTTTAAGTTACATCTCTTATTTGATTTACTAAATTAAAACTTAAACTAATAAGATTTGGACAAAATATTAAACATTATTTAATTAAAACTATATGTTATTTCTAAGAAAACTAATTAGTCTAGATTAATTAGTTTAAGAAAATCACTAGAATTTAACTAAAGGGAAATAAAAGATGGGCTTAAGAACAAAGCACATGGGCTTAAGCAAGAAACTGAGCTGGGTTGAGGAGAGATGGAGCGGGTCGTGGAAGACCCGGACCCAGGAAGGAGAACAACATGATGCTGTAACGAAAAACCCTTGGAACGCTAGTGCCAGCCGCCGGTGGAACCCTTGGAACGCTGGCGCCATGGCCGCCGCCGGATCTCTTTCTCTCTTCTCGTTCCGATTCCTTCACGACCCACTTTATCATCAAAGCTTGGTCTCCTTCACGGTTGACTTTTCAATCTTATCGTTTTTGTTTCTGAGCTAATTCTGCATTTTTACAAGTACTTCCAATCGCAGGTTGTTGTTTCCAGGCATCAGGAACATATTTCAAACAACAAATCCAAATTTTCCATCCTCATGGTCTGATATTGAAGTAGTCGCTGAATTCTTTGAAGAGCTAGTTTCCAAGCAGTTTCATCGCTCCTTTTATTGATCGGTGGCAGCGTCATGGAGATTGGTCGATGAGATAGCGATTGGAGGATGGTTCGACGGATGATGAAAGGTGGTGGAAATTGAGGAGCGGTGTTGGTTCTGAAGAACGAGAACGAGAACGACCGTGGTTTAGTGGATTTCGAAGCGTGAATAGGAGGAAGCAAGTTGATTCTGTTCATTACAGGAGTCAATCCCAATTGGCTAGAAAGTTATCTGCTGTCCATCTCGTTGGAATCGGTAATTCCTCATTTTCAAATTCCAAGTTATACTGATTATGGTGCTAATTAACGATAGTTAGGTCTTAGAATTATAAATACGTAGGTAATTGATGATTCTCGTTTTGTAGCCCAAGTATCAGCTTTGCCTGGTCTTTCTGTTTTAGGTACCGGTAAGCAGGGGGATGGTGGAAGGAACATCTCAAACGCCCTTAGCAAAGGCGAAAACAACTGTTGTCCATAAAGCACTGCAATCATCTTGGAAAGAGAAACAGGCCCTTCATCGGAAACACTTGCAGCATTAACAGATCCATGGTGGTGATAACTGCTTGAGATTTTTGTAAGTTTCATGTGATTTGTAGAAATAAGATATCCGTTTTAGCACAACAATGTCAATGCGCATCTTGCCGGCAGATAAACCACATAGCTCCAAAAGAAAAGCAAAAGAAGCAACAAGCGTAGAATCCTCAAAATGCAAAAATTGCAGTAGACAAAACAGATGAAAGTAGAGTATCTTCATGCTGTCCTAGTGGTGAAAGAAGTAAAGGAGCAACCCGATGAAGATGTGGTGAAGACGATAGAAATGTGATGAAAGTATCGGAAGGAGGATATCGTTGTATCAGATGCGGATTTAAGAGCGGCAGAAGAATTGAACGAAGATGATAGTAATGAACCGCGAAATCCGAATGAGTAATTGAAAAAGGTTTGTGAATTTGTTATATTTTTTACACGTTGGTTTTAAATTAACAGTGCTTATGTGATTGTGCCGGTTTTGCAAAATTATGAATCTTGAATTTTATCAATCAAATTATTGTCTGTGTTAAAATAGGGATTTAATGTATTGATGATTCGCAAAGATATTAAATAGCCGTTTTACATGATTTCAGGAAATTAAAGAGAGTATTATTAAGTGAGACAAAGGCAACGCAGCGGTATAAAGCTTTATGCGAAAAAACTGAAGAAAAACTCACATGGTCGGAGCTAGTCCGACAGTTACGATTCCGGCGACGTCAGGTAAGCTCCGAAAACTCCTCGCTCCTTGCTTTCTGCCACTAATTCTTCTCTTCCTCCCCGTCTAAAAAACTGATTGGAAATATTGAATAAATGGTTTTTTTGTGGTTTATTCGGTTTTGGTCAGTATGCTGGATGGTTTGACAGTGTGCTTAGAAACGGTTTAGCAATATGCAGGTTTCCTGGTTGTGTGATTTGCAATATGCTATGCAAAATGGTTTAGCAGTAATGCAGATTTTGCAATATGTCGGTTATGGTTTTATGCTATGTAAAAATGATTTGGCAGTAGGTTATGTTTTGATAGCAGTATGCAGGTTTGCAAACGCTTAGAGATGGTTTTGATTGGGAATAATAGCAGTATGCAGGTTTGCAAATGCTTAGAATGCTTAGAGATGGTTTTGATTGGGAATAATAGCAGTATGCAGGTTTGCAAATGCTTAGAATGCTTAGAGATGGTTTTGATTGTAGTATGCTGGTTATGATTCTTTTTGGACTATGCAGTGATGTTCTGGTCCCTCTACTATGCAAGCTCACCCTTCCTTTTGAAGGGAATTTCAAATAGCCGTTGCTTTTTAATTCTCATGGCTCAGGTTTTGAATATCTTAATATATTTTTCTGCTGTTCTGCACATATGCTGCTATATGTTTGACTTTATTCCCAATTCATGCTTAAGTCAGAACCTGCAAAAATTGAACCTCTTCTCTCTCTCTCCCAAGTACAGAAATTGATATATATAAATGATATACTGTACATTTTTCTGAAATTGTAATGGCCAGAAAATGATGGAAAAAAAAGGAATAGGTTGCTTGCATACATTGTTTAAAACTGCACATGCTGGAAATTGCATATTGTTTTTGTCTTGCATTAACCTATATTATTCTGCTATAAGGGTACAGGTTAACGTTACTTGTTGTGTACCTTGCATATGTTTGTTTTGAAATTATGTATGCTGTGTGTACTTATGCAGTTTTGACCAAAAAAATGCATTTATGCATATGTGAAATATGCAGTAGGCTTTTGATAAAAATGCAAATGATTTTGAAAATGTGTTGTTTTCAATTATGCATTCATTTAAAAATTCCTCTCTTTTTTGTGAACCGGGAGAAATCCCGTGATTTGCAAAAAAGAGTAACTGATTCCGGCCATTGCTTTTAATGATGAACATTGAATTTATTTTCTGCATTTTAAATATTTATTCAATTTTGACTTTCTTTTAATTGTTTTCGCAGGTAAAATTAAATGAGCGAACAGGAGCATTGGATTGAAGATTTAGAATTAGAATTTAGAAAAATAGTTTTTTTATTTACTTTAAGCATTTATGTAATTGTCTTTATAAATACTTTGTACAATAGTATTTAAACAACAATTGTAATAAATAGAATAAAGTGAATAAAAATTCTATTATTTCCCAATTAATTCTTTTTCTTTCCAATTATTTATTTATTGTTTATAACTCTTTAAATTATATAATGACTGAAAATCAAATCCAAGCATTTAAATTCAGAATGATAAACAAATAAATAAACATCATTGATCAATTAATAACTTCAATTATTTACTTGATTATTATTTTTAATTCTTCTAAATTATAATAACTCGAAAAATAGAATTTCAGCTATTTAAATTTAGAACAATAAATAATCAAATAAACATTGCTTGATCAATTAATAGACTCCTTTTCAAATGTTTATTTCATTATTCGTAAACCTTTAAATTATATAATAACGGAAAACCGGTTCCCATTATTTAAATTTAGGATAATGAATAATTAATAAACATTATTTGATCAATTAATAAACCTTTTCTCAAATATTCTTTTTATTATTTATAAGTCTTTAAATTACGTAATAATCGAAAATAAACTCCAATTATTTGAATTTAAGATAATAAATAAGCAATGAACATTGTTTAAGTCTTGATCAGTTAATAAATTTAGCGTTCAACAAATAAACAGCTCCCGACTCGAAAAAGTTATGAATTTTTAAACTGCTTTGAAAATTTGATAAAAATAGGTCAAAACTCTCGCAATGCGAATGATGCAGATGGAAGACGGTATCTTAGGTCAAAATTTGGGGTACAACAGTATGGTTTACTAATTGGTCTGAATTCATGAAATTATACAAGAGATTAATTCAAAGAGATCTTAATCAATTTTTTTGACTTTGATTAAAGTCGACTTGAGAAGTAGTTTTTTTGGCCAAATTTCCATTTAAGATCATTATTAACTCATCCTATTGGTTTCAAATTTGGAAGAAGCTACCAGCGATCAAAGTGAAGCATGTAAACCATATGAAAAGGATAGCATTTAAAGGATTTCAACTTACAAAAGTGTGTGATTTCATGATCAAAGGTTATCGTTGCATAAAGTCACATGTGATTGAACTTTCGTGCAAAGCCCATAATCAAAATTTCATACCTTATTCAAGTTTATTCAAATAATAGGCAAGGTGTTAAAGAGAAAATACTTGGAATCTCAAGTTCAATTTAGAAGAAGGTGCTTTGAACATTAGAACATATCACAGAATTTTCAAAAAAAAATATTACAAGTACAATTCCAATCTAATTCATCACATGAAAAGTTACATTCAGACTGCAATTTCCACATTGCATACAATTACCGTTGAAGAAGTACAAAGTTCAGTTGCTAATCTTAAAGCTATTCTTGATTAATTCTCCAAAGTCATCCTCGCCCGGGTTTTTTCTTCATATTCCAATCTTCTTCATGACCTCATAAGTCTTGTGCCTATTTGTTCAGACCAGATAATCGTGACAAGGCAGCCCCACAAAATAACCAAGTCAGTCAGCATATCAAAAAGTAGTTCATGCATATCACAAAGGCCAAAGTCGTTCAAACGAAATTGAATATAAAATAGGCAATACATCAGTCCAAGTCAGCAAAAGTTACTCATGAACTCAGGCCATTTCAGTTCACACAATAAAATTCAGAGGAAGATATATCAGTTCACATAAACTGAGTTCATCTGGCATGGTTAAATCGGATTTTAGCTCACATTCAAAATACCAAAGCCAGAAAATATAAAGAAAGGAAATAGTGAAATAGAAAAATAAGAAGTCGAGTCCTAACTGAATTCGGTTTCAGCATAACAAAAAATCAGTAGCTTCCAACAGAAGTCATAACAGCTCGACTTTCATTCAAATCTCAACCATTCATTTTTCTAACTAATTTTTAGATTAACCACTCAAATCAAAACATATCCCTAATTGATTTTCTAACCACTAACAGTTTTCTTAACAGTTTCAATAATTGATTTCAACAAAAACAAAAACAGAATATTATAACAACTAACTCCAATCGCCTAATTGAATTAGTTACTTGCCAACTCATACTAACTATCATAACAGAAACTAACTTTAACTGTTTTTAAACTCCTATAACTGAATCAATCCTGGACCTTAATCTGGGGAACCGACTTTTTAATTCAATGGACATGGATTCACTCTGCTGTAAAAAAACTTGGTTAAACACTAACAGAAGTATAAGATAAAAAAACTCACCAATTCAGGGATCTTTGAAGATTCTGCAGAATAAAAAAAAAACCAAAAAAACTCTCTCTTCGCTCTCATATTCCTTCTTCTTTATCTGCAGTCTTTATCCCTTTCACTTGTATCTTCATCAACACAGCCACCACTACAACGTAACAAGCTCTCTGCATTTCAATTTCGTATCTCAGAGCAACTTCTCATCATCTTCACATCAACGATGCAATCTTCATCTCTCTGAAACCCCTGCTTCAAGAAGCATCAATCATCAATCTTCATCGAATTCTCATCATCTTATGTAACAACATTCATCATCCACCTTGAATCTGCAATATTCTCCAACAAGATCCTTCATCAACTTCTGCATATTCTCCGACCAGTATGTTCCATCTTCATTCTCTCTTATTCTCTCAATGTTTTAATCTCTTATTCTCTAAATGTTTTAATCTTCATCTTCAGTGGCTTCAACCCTTCAATCATTGGAGAATCACCGAATTTGCATCTCCCTCTATCACCCTCGAGCAAGAAAATACTATTTGAAGCAAGGAACAAAATCGCATACCTGAGTCGTTGAAGAGCCACCAGAGTTATCTGATAGGTAGGTGCTTCTATCTTCTCTTTACTTCACTATCTTCATTCGCCTTCCCTTACGCAATAGTGAAACCTCGTGAATCTGAAGACGAGCGAGAAATTAACAATGATGAGCGATAATAGAAGCAGTGGATGAAATGCTGAGGATGAGAAGCACGAATTGAAACCGAAACGAAATTGGAGGCAAGTGAAGGCGTGGAGACAAAATCACAAGCGAATTGGGAGTTAAGGAAGGTCGAATCGAACGAGAAGAGGGTTGAATGAAAGAGGTTTGGCGGAGGTATTCCCAGCGACATCAATGTGTTATCCACGACGGCAGAGAATTGATCAGAGAAATTGAGAGGAGGATCAGAGACGGTGACCGTTGGGAGGAGGCCGCCATTTGCGGCTTGTCAATGTTATTGGAAGAAGAAGTATTCTGTGTGCACAAGCTGAACATCCCAAATTGATGCCCTAATTGGATGGATGATGAGCATTGGTGGACCGGGTCCTTAGGCCCACATCACTTTTTTTGGAGGCTGAGTCGCATGTGACAAAAAATGTCTTGTGGACTCATAATTGATAGGCCCTACTACTTTACTACTGTACTCTTGGATTATTGGCCCGCACCCCCTGAGTTTATTATTTTGGTATTTTCTTTTAAATAATTTTGTAAATTTTTTAGTTTTGTTTAGACTTTTTTCTTTACATGATAAAAAATAATAAAATCAAATATAAAAGCTTGTAGATTTTTTTTATTTTAGTTTTAGGAAAATAAATCCCGATTATCTAATTATATTTGAGATTGGTAATTCACCTTTACTTGTTGATATTTGAGTCTTATGCATGTTTATTGTGCAATATGTGGATGCACTTGAGATTTCGATTGTGATTTATTTTCACATCACTGATGCATCGACATTTATTCCGAGCATTTGATTTCTGATTCTTTTCTTTGATTGGTGAAGCTTTTCACGAAGACCGTTGGGTTTCTTTATTTTGATAGGCTTTGCTACGGATTGATATTCGTTTGGTATTTTCCCTTGTTTATCTCATTTCAGTACTTTACTGTTTTTTAGATATCATGAGAAGTAGGAAATAAAGAGTGCGGGCTCAAAGTCGCCGTTTAAATACCTATAGCAGGCATTCCGCACTTCATTTGTTATATGTGTTGTGCTTATGTTTGTTTACTTTCTTATTGATCGCTGAGTCACTCAATTTAGAAATTGAGATCACAACTTCGCTCTCAGTGCATGCTCCATATAGAATTTCATTGCTTTCCTTTATTTCTTGTTGATCGATGAGTCACTCAATTTAGGAATTGAGATCACGACTTCGCTCTCATGGCATGTTCCCCATAGGATAGTTTTGTTAGACTCTCTTTGGTATACTATCCTAGATAGGATCTCTCTAGGTGTGTCTCTTGAGCTAGCTCTCTGGAGCTTATTGGCTTACTTGTTTGATTTCATATTTGTGTACATGTTTTGAGATGACATACCCTCGGCATGTTCCCTTAAGAGATCTCAATTCAACTATAGACGATGATTCGAGATAGATATAGTTTTAGGTGATAGACCCTTGCTATGCTCCTTTAGGACTTCTTGATTCATCTATAGATGATGATTTGAGATAGACATTAGGATTGTTATCCAAGCATGTCAACATAGAGTAGATATTTCCCTTCAAAGCTCAACCTTAGGATTAATCATTGTATGATAACATTAGGGATAGATCTAGGTTAGTCCCCCTTAGATGATTTTTCTTTCTTTTTCATCCATGCATTAAAACTAAAACTTTCTTTTTCTTAGCAAATGCATAAAACATCTAACAATTTTCAAATCCTTTTTAAGGTAAAAAATATCAACCAATGCAAACCCTTTTGCGCCTTTGGGCTTTTCTTTCAAACCTTTTTTCAGAAAGAACATGTTAATTCACTTCTGTGTTGACGCGTAAGTCTCCAAAGGTCGAGTTGCGGCAGAAGGGGAAATTAATATTGTTAATTAAAAAATAAAAACCAACAAAAACATGTGAGCCGAACTACGGCTGCTCTGATTCCTTAAAAGGGATACGTAGGCAATGGGATAGGGCCCGAGCGAGCAAAACTTTGATTTTCCCTACATTATTTTCTCTTTTCTTTTGCATGCATTCCTTGTATAGCTTAGATATAGATTCTTACACACCTATAAGATAGACAACAAGAGTGGATACCATAGAGTACTACGGGTATGTGGGGTGATAATACCTTCCCCTCGCATAACAGACTCCCTTACCCGTATCTCTTGGTCGTTCGACCTTGATTTCACCCTTCTCAGGTTTACTCGATGTTTAACTTTCCCTTCTTGTGGGATAAAAAACATTCGATAGCGACTTCATTGATTTCATTATCAATTGATTGTTCAGCCAGTTGTTTCAGGAGCTACCTACTCCTTAATAGTAGGATAGCGCTATCTAAAAGAAATAAGAAAACGAACAGTCTTTTTTGAGTAGGTAGAAACTCTTAAGTACTTGCTCAAAACAATCAATTTTTCACACTTACACTTTCAAACACTTTTCAAACAAAGTTTTCAAAAAACGCTTTATCACACTCTTGAGGACTGCTACAAGGGTTACCATAAAGTGAAACGCCGCACTAAGGCATTTTCAAATCTTTCCAAAACATACAGAAAAGCAATTTCAAAATGAGCAAGTACCTAAGAGCCCATGGAAAACCATGGATAGAAAGGGTGCTAACACCTTCCCTTTCTATAATCTACCCCCCGTACTCAGAAACATCTCGAAAAAGGTTTTTTCTGTTCTTTTTCCCTTTTGCTTTGTTGGATAAAATAAAAGACGGTGGAGACTCTTGCTTACCGTACATTTGTGAACAAAAAACACAAAAACTAGTAGTAACAAAAAAACAATCAGTTCTGCCACCGTATCATAGAACTGGAGACTCTGCTGGGGAAGATAAAAAGTGAGGTTTACCTTAGGATCTAGTTCATTTTGATTTCTTCTTTGGCTTGTCTTATTTGATTTACTTTTAAGGGTATTTGTTTGGGTTGTTTGGATCCTAAACCCGGATCGGGGAATTCCTGTTAGGTAAGTAGCAATAAACTGTGAGGGAGTTGTGCGGGGTATACCGACACAGTTGAAATAGTAGCTACGTTGATGTGATACTTTGGTGTGTACCGGTAGCCCTTGAGTAATCAAGGAGAATACGGGGCCGCTGCGTGGTATCATAAAGCGTCAACCGACCTTAGAACCTTAATTGACCAACTTGGCTTTTTAGGACATAGTGAGATAGCCGTCTTTGGTGTAAACCCAAAGTCGGTTGATACTCGATGCTACACTCATTAAGGTTTGACTCTTGAGTTTTGTTTGGTGGCAAGTCAATTGTCTATCGGAACAAAATTTGGGGGAAAGATCAGTGATATTGAGATCCCTTAGAACTCGGTTATTATTATAGGACAGGTTGAACCAATCCAACTTCAAGAGGGTACTACCTTAAAACATATGCAAGCCTAAACCTAAGGTTGTTTGTGTGACTTGTTTGCTTTCAACTAGTTGCAGGGTTTTATCATCGGACAACATGATTTCCTTGCAGGATTTGTTTACAGTCATTATCCAATAACTTGGATTTCTTGTAGGGTTAACGCATAGCATACACATCATAACATCATGCCACAACATTTCCTTAACCGTTTCAAGGATCTCAACGGTTTGTGATGCAGGTTATGATAAATTAGACGTCTAGCAAGGTGAAAGGGGATTTATTTTCCTCTAGCCAATGTTGTTAGAAGATCAAAACTCATCAACTTGAGTCAGGGGCTATAACCCACTTGATATGGTGAGCTTGACTCTTGTAGAAGGACCTTCAATGATACTAAGTTCTTCAATCAAAGCTACAAATTTCAACTGCTGACATCTTCTTGTTTACCCCGTGAGTCCTTGAAAACATTGCATACGCATATCATACATGTCATTGCATAACCGGTAGTCTCCAACACATGTCTCTCATGTTCTCGCTATTTATTTCAGCAATGGCTCTCAAACAAGACAACAGAGATCTCCAAACTCAAGAGGCTCAGTTCATGGAAATGGTCCTAAACTTATCCAAGGGGTAGGATGAGTTGAAAGCACTCCTCGCTGGGAACCTAACCAAGAAAAATCCTAAAGACAATAAGGATGACCAGTTGGAACAACTGCAAGCTGAAATGGAAAGGATGAGAATCCAGATGAATAGTCAGATGACCCTTATCCAAAGCTTGGCTCAGGGGCAAGAAGAGTTAAGACTCCTTATAAACAAATTTCCTCAAGACGGATGCAACCGTATAAGGCAAACAATCGAGGTGGGGAATTAAGGCAATCATTAACCCGTGATGGGACAAAAAGTTAGCTTAGAGAGTAGACCTTTCCAAATTGCTGCTACATCACAAGCCCAACCACAACCTCGCCAACAACAACAGGGCAATCGGCGTAAGCGGAATACATCCGAAAGACGCTTCACCGAAATCAACATGTCATTGGCTCAAGCATTGAAACGCGTGTTGGAGGCCAAGTTGGTTATGTTAAGGGACCCTCCTCATAATCCCAACACAGCCTCCCTAAGGTAAAATCTAAATGCAAGATATGCGTACCACTCCAACAGTCCCGGACATGACACCAACAACTGTTGGGTGTTGAGAAATAAAATTCAAGACCTGATTAATGAAGGAGCGCTAGAATTCGCACAAGACGGTCAGGCTGAGTTCTTTTGCCATCCCTCCAAGGCACACCATCTGAAGTGACAAGTTCTCACAAGAAGACTTTTCGTTCATTAGAATTTTCAATGTGTAATTTTCTTTTGATTGTTTGAACATTTATTCATATCAAACCTTGTTATTTCATTAATGCATTGCACATGTTTGTCTTGAATTAATTTGTTTGCATCATGCTCGAACTGCTTTCTTACTTCCTTTTTGTGATATTCAACTCTCGATCAAAAGCTTTGAGCCTTTAAAGGGAGGATGATGAAAATGATACCACAATCCATACAGTGTGCTTTTGAACAGACCTTGCTGACGATGTACAGGCGTTGTTTCAAATCCCAAACAGGCGTTGGTTCAGGTACAATCTAGAAACGGATGTCATCCTGACACCTACCCCAGATTCTCTCCAGAAATGGTGCAAATACGATCCCAGAACGGATGTGATTCTGACACTTATTTCAACATATCATCTAGAAACGGTGCAGGTATGATCCAAGGACGGATGTCATCCTGAAACTTACTCTAGATTCTCATCTAGAAATGGTTCAGGTACAATCCAAGAATGGATGTCATCCTGACACTTACTTCAG